TTTTCAGATATTTTTAATATGCAGTTGGTTGACTGTGGATTTAGAGCTCCCAGTGAATTCATCTCATTAGGGCCAGTTAGTGACATCACAAGAGACCTCTCCCTGCTTCTAAGGGAAGCTGTGGCGAGTGATTATGTGGGGCGGAGCCCAGCTGGCCAGCCTTTGCATCCCCTGACACCATTAGAGTCTCCTGACAGTCCTCTGCCTCCCTGGGCTCAGCTCAGGGCGTGGGGCGCCCCCCCCTTCTCCTGTCTCAGCTCAGGGGGTGGGGTGCCCTCCTGGGTTCTCCTGGCCTGTCTTGGAGTGAGCTTTGTCCTTTTGTTCCAGCGTCACTTTGGAAGGAGGCTCCTGTGTTTGTCACGCATGTCATCTTAGGTAGCTTGCTGTAGCCCCTGGTGGGCCACAGTGGTGCACGCCTTTAATTCTAGCACTTGGGAGGCAGAGGCAGGCAGATCTCTGAGTTTGAGACCAGCCTGGTCTACAGAGCGAGTTCCAGGACAGCAAGGGCTACACAGAGAAACCGTGTCTTGAAACCAAAACAAAACTCAAAACAAGGAGGTGAAGCAGCAGCAAGCTGACTTCATTAGCTCAGCACAGCTCCAGGTGAAGTAACTCCCTCTCTGAGTACCAGGCCTTGCAGCTACTGTAGAGATTTTAGGGGAAAAAAAAAAAAAAAAAAACACCCCAACTCTAGTTATGTCTTAGTCTCTAAGAGACTGGAGAAGAAAACCAGTAACTGAAATGGGCCAAAATATTATGAAGGCTAGCCAAGGGGGCTGAGGCACGGTCTCTAAATGCTAGCTACACAGGACTGGCTTGGTTTCTTTTCGAGTTTTTAGGAAAGGCAGGGTCGAACTAATTTAATTAGGACAACCAACCCCATGCGGACAATCCCCCCCACTGAGGACTGTCTTGTGTAATTCTGGGTTTTGTGGAGTTGATAATGAAAGCGAACCATCACAGAAGGAGAAAGAAGAGTCTGCTCCTTCCAGGGTTACAGGAACAAAGATTCTATTAGTTCTGGGTCCAGAGCTGAGATGTAGGAAGAAGGTGGTGGCCACCGTCACACAGTGTGCCCTGGCTGGAACCTGTCGCCTTTTTCCTCCTCTGCACCCGCACTAGTTACTCCCTGTGGCTGTGACAAAAACAACCGAAAGAGCTTATTTTGTGCTGGGCGGTGGTGGCACATGCTTTAATCCCAGCAGTCAGGAGGCGGGGACAGGTGGATCTCTGTGAGTTCAAGGTTTGATCTACAGAGTGAACTCCAAGGCAGGTAACAAAACTACAGAGAAACCCTGTCTCGAGGAGAGAGAGAGAGAGAAAAAAAAAAAAAGTTTATTTTGGCCTCTAGTTCCAGAGGGTTAGAGTCCACAATAGCGTGCTGGCTGGAACAGGAACCTGGCTGGTTATGGTTTCATTTACAGGGGAATCAGAGAGGGGGAACGGGAAATGGGTGAGTGGGGTGATTAACCCCCAGTAATGCACTTCCTCCAGCAAGGCACCACCTCCCAAAGGTGACATTACCTCCTCCCACAGCATCAACAGCTGATGAGTGTTTAAATATATGAACCAATGGAAGACAGTTCTCTTCCAAACCACCACATGGAAGACAGTAACTCCAGGGACCTAGGACATACAACTCCCTCTTAGCTGCAGCGCAGAAAAATTCCCCTTTCCTGGGTCTGCTCAAAAGGACAAGGATGATCTTAGCAACTGCCCTTCATTGGGCACTTAAAATCGGGCACCATGCCAAGTCCTCCATTACACGTCTGTCACGGCTAAATCCTTGTCCCCTTCCCAGCTCCTATGCTGAAGCCCCTAAGATCCTGTGTGACTGTGTGAGGAAAGAAGGTCTCTGGGAGATAACCGGATCTGGTGAAGTCCTGGGGTGGAGCCACCATAATGGGACTGATGTCATCTTAAGAGAAAAAGACACCGGTGCTTCTACTGAGTGCTTAGAATGAGCCTCCGAGGATGCAGCCTCTGCAGGCCGCCAAGGAGCCTTGGGTAGGGCTGTCTTGCTGACGCTCTGACCCTGGATGACCCTGGACTCAGGGATTCCAAAACCGAGAGATCTGTTGGTTAAGTCAGGGCTTTCTGGAGGCTTTTTCTATTCCTGGTATCTTTGTTCCTGACAAATTTTCATGCGCCTTCAAGCACTAGCTATACGGAGTATGACTATAAAACACTCAGTGGTGATAAACAATAAGGAAACGTACCTAAAAACAATTCTGCTAGACACAGAATTTTCCCGTCTATTAAAGACGAAGGCAAACCTGCGTTCTAATGTGGTGTCTTGCTTGTTTACTTCTCATCATGAGCGACATCTTGACAAAGTAGTTGGCAGTACAGGATGTAAAACATCTTCAACGTTTTTCATAGTTGATCAATATTTTGATTTCATGATTGTCAAGGCTAAGAACACCACTTGGCATGAATATGTAGTAAAAATAAAAAAGCAGAAGTATATTTAGAGCCTTTTCAGAAACGGCTGGAAATTCTCTCCTAATCTCAAGGCAAATTCAACAACAACAACAAAAAAAAAATTTATAAAACCCGAGTCAGCAACTTAGACAACAATCTTTAAAAAGAAAACATTTTAACGC